ATGGTACTACACCAGCCCAGGTCTGTCGTGGGATGCATTGTTGAAAAAGACCGGAATTAAGTTGGAATTGCTCACCGATTACGACATGCACCTATTCATTGAGAAAGGCTTGCGAGGTGGGATTTTCATGGTCTCTAAACGATACGCAAAAGCCAATAATCAATACGTGAAGGGCTACGACCCGAGCAAGCCAACCAATCACATCCTCTACCTCGACGCCAAACAACCGATCATGTTTTCTCATAATCGAACACAAACAATTTTCGAACACTTGTTTTCATCAACAATATTTTTCACATGGTTGGTTTTGCCTGTTACATTTCATAAGCACTACAAGCTCGTTTCAACTCATGATTGAATTTATCTTAAAGACTCCAAGAAATTCATGTTCCTAACATACTAGTCATCCTTTAAAGATGTGAAATTTTGCCAAAAAACCCAAAAACAACTACAGGTTTTTTCCTTATTTTTATGTGCATTAACAAATTTCATTAATGACGCTAGCCAATTTTTTCGATGATTGATCGGTTGTAATGAACCAATCATCAATTATAAGATTTTAACCAATTCCCAACACTACTATCCATAGAACTTAGTCTTCGCTCATTATCTGTTGTTTCAGTTCAGTGCACATCCTGGGCTATCCTATTACCTAAACAGGGGAGATGAGGAGTTGTTTTTTTAACAATGTGTCGTAGTATCCGGATGTGGATGTTTTGGGATGTGGAAGTTTTGGCATAGAACCTCGTACAACTGGTGGTTTGTACAGAACAGAACTTTTATTACATCCATGACGTATACTCGGCATAAGAGGTAAAAAGTACACAGTTAAGGATAGTGAGTGTAGTTTTGAAAACCCATTCTACCCCGGATCTTCACGGGTCTAAGGATAGATAGGAAGGTGGGATGGTTAACATGGAAGATTGTACAATTTACATGATGGTATTACAGAATGTACATAGGTTGTTTTAATAAATACTTATTTGTTTATAGTTAAACATTTCTTTAAATTTTAACATATTGGGTTTTTGACATGTGATGGTTTGGGAAATATATTTTCCGATGACGTCTGAAGAAAGGACAACATCGCACATGTCACAGAGGTAACATATTCTTTCTTTGAGGGGAATTTTGCGCCGCTTGCCTTATTCGATAGGTATACGATGACAAAAAGTTCTAAACAAGGGGGATTTAAGAGCCAAGGAGGAAGGAATTTATGTCAAATAGTTTTCAAGTCCAGATTTGTAAATGTTTTGAGTGAAACATCCGATAAAAATTATTGAATACGTCTTATAAATACTTGATATGTTTTATAAATACACTCACAACAACATATAAAACGAAGTTCACATACACCTTGATGTTGGAATCCTTTCTGGGGATAGAACTGATCTTCAGCAACCCATGTTTGTCGAAAGAAGCGACTAAATGGTTCGTAAATCGTATCTCGATTGCACAGATGTTCATTATATCAATCACTGGATTGTCTGGTACAAATTCGATTATTTACATATAGATGGACAATTGCCAAGCGCAGCGGTAAACAATAAACAAACAAACAAAAATAGGTAGATTGGGCCAACTGAATGTTGTAGCTCTTTGAGTATTGTTGATACTAGTAAGTAAACCTTTTACTGGACTGGGAACATATAATGGCTGTTTAGAATCAATTACGATATGGCTTTGAGGCGAGGTGAGGTGAAATTGGGTTTAACGTGGTGCTTGAAAATGTTTCGCTCTTATGACGACGTGCATGCGCGCGTGCGTGCGTGCGTGCGTGCGTGTGTGTGCGGCTGCTTGTACTAGCCCAGACTTAAGCTGGTTTTATAGTGCTAGCCCACTGAGATACCATGCCGCAGTGAAGCATGATTTCCCTACTCGGACACATTATACTGACTCCGAGCCGACCAGTCCTTGTTGTACCCATTAATGCCGAGCGCCAAGCAAGGACCAACAAGTACCATATTTGAACGTCTTTTGGTATGACGCGGTCGGGGATCGAACCCGCGACCTCCCGCTTTCCGGGGCGGACGCTTTAACCACTACACCACGGAGGCGGTCGATGTGGCTTTGAACTATAGTTCTTACGGACAAAGAAACAATACACCAGACGCCAAATCAAACGTTACCCTCCTACCTTTATGAATTACTGAAAAACTATCAAAGATATTTTAGAAGGTTTTAGTTTACAAGAAAGCTTAACAACACAGCTTTATGCAAATCCCGAAAAGAAATTCTCAAATACATTCATATTTGGGTGAAATGCATCTTTTTCAGAAGAGTTAAATTGTCCTATATTCGTCCATGCCGAAATAAACCAATAATAGTGATTTTGATGTCCAAAAGAAAGGTTCAAATAAAATTCTGCTTTGGGACAATGATAAACCATTTAAAGTCACCATTTTTCAACTATTAAAACAAGAAACAACTTGTGTAGAGTGTGTAAAATTGTAAAATAATCATTCCTATGATTTCAGTTCTTTAAAACAGTTTCTGCTGATTTGCATTAGTGAAAACAAGTAACACGTGTCCTTGATATTGTGAAAAAATGTTTAGGAACATCTAAAATTATCTTTGTTAACATTATTGCTTTGCAAAGTAACATTTTCCATTTGCGGTTTACACATAGCAATATCAATCGCCAAAACGTAGCAATATTCACGCAGTATTTACATCCATTTCACATGCAGAATGATTTTATAGGGTATAAAGAGAGCCAAGAAGACATGATCTGATACACAAGTGCGAAACATATGCCACGATTAACAGCTGAAAAGAGAGTAAAAGCCATTGGGGTAGTGCAGATGGGGTCGACATACAATGCTGTTGCCAACGCCCACGGATGCCACCGTATCACGGTTATAAGACTTATTCAGGGCTTCAGACAGACTGGGATCACCGTAGACAGACCAAGAAGTGGACGTCCACGCATCACAACGCCAGCTGAAGATAGGTACCTCCGTCATAAAGGAAGGAGGGTAACGGTTCTTTTGGCGTTTAGTGTAGAATGGATTTTGGCGTTAATTTGTTTATTACCTCATTAACATAGTTTTAACAAATATTAAAATGACTATGTTTTTCCCAACTAGGCCTATTAAGTTGGTCCTCTAACCATCATCCAAAATACCATTTTAACGATAAAAATAACAAGGATTTGCATGTCATGAACACATTTAGAAACATGATATAACTTACGTTACAATCAGCAATGGTGGTAACACCTACCTGCTGCACTGTTTAGGGAAGATGCATTTGCTCATGCGTTGCCAAAGCGATTGTGCAACTGACAATCAAAGCTATTGAATGAAAAATAGAAAACGTAGTGAGAAAATCCCATAATCAATTATTTTGTATATCAGAATTAAAGATTGGTATATGACGTCATATGACGTTTTTCATAAAATATATAATGTATGCGAACCTATGGAATGTACATCTCATTTGCATACTATAGCCTATATCAGAAATGTACATTTTGACAGGGGTAAAAATGACACAATTTGCCCTCCTGTAAACTCATCTATGTCGGATGATTTTACAAGAAGTGTTAAAAACAAAAGTTGGAAAAAACGACCCAGTCATACAATATCTAACGATCAAACTTTAGTTGTGTTCAAAACTACGAAACCATTTTATTCTACTTCCGTGAGTACTTTTAGGTATTATTTTCGTTCCAGATTTTCAAAATGTATTATTTCTGTTACTTGATGTTGTAAAGAAGACACGATTTTGATATATATTTCAAGTCAAATAATAACCTCTTGAAACTATTTATTTCTTATCAAACTATGTACGTATCAAGTTTTAGTTATGATATCAGTTGAATTTTTTCATTCCGTGTTGGATTCTAACTACTAAATGAAACACTTTCAATCAAACAATGCGTTCTTTTGATAATATTTCTTTATTATTGTTTAATTAGCATTATTGTTTAATTACTCATGACATACTAAAAACAATTATAAACTAAGTAACTGTTTCTTTAGAAACCATGGATGCATGTACATTTTAATCAACCAGTATATTCACTCATTGGGGTGATTTGTCGATAAATATTTGTCATGTTTTGTCTCTCATAATTCCTATGGAATGGCTTGTGTAAAGTGTTAAAACAGTGTTAAAAATAACAATAAAATTTACATTACATATAAACAGTGCTGCATATCTGTAATGTAACACAAGATGAGACGTTAATAAAATATCCGTCTATCTGTCTGTCTGTCTGTCTGTCTGCACTGTTAGGCGTTCTGTGAAATACACACTATGTCGGCATCGCACGTAAAATCTCTAAATCATCGTCACTATCAGGCAATCTGGCATTTTGACTCCACCTGCATCGGCAGGTAAAATTATAATCACTGCTCGACGTATTTCGTATTGTAATCTGTTTATTGTATAACCAGCTAGGTTTGTACCCAACGTATTCCTTCGTCTGAGTCAACGTATGGTTCTGAGCTAGCTCCCCTGTCGACACATTCGCGTTGACAAATCTACAAATATAAACACATAGAAAAGTCCACTGTGCAAAATAAAGAGGGGAGGGGGGGTGGGGAGAAGGGGAGGGTGCCCACTCCTTTTGACCTGAAAGTTTATTTAATTAAACCTCTCGTGAAAACGGGTGAAAATGAATCGTGCACACCCTTTTGTCAAGAGTGTACACCGCCCCACCCCAACCCCCTTCTAAATAAGCTGTATCCACCGTGGTTCATTTGAATTGATAAACCGCCCAAGTAAGATAGGAAGCTGTGAGAAACTTAGATTTCCTTAATTCTGATCGATGGCGTAACATTAAAATGTGGAATGGGATAAATCTGGTTCTTGTCCAAGCTAATTTTCATAAGATCGATAGTCACCTGTGCAAATACGCATTAAGATGCGGATTATTTGTAAGCCAGCCAGCTCACAATAGGCCATAGCCGTCGCTAAGGAATTTAGGACCTACCCAATGACCTTGAAAGGGCGCCACGACCCCGACATAAACATAGCATTTTGTATGTTCATTCGCTGTGATAAGCGGGTGAGCTTCGCGAGGAAGGTCTACCACGAGTGTTGTGGATTAATGCGGGTGCAGTTCTCAATACGCTATCGAAAAGGGTGCATTTAACGGAATCCATTTCTCCGCCAATGCGGAAAGCTCGCTTGAAGAAGATACTATTGACCTTAGTAGCAGGTCTGTTCGTCGCAGTGTATTTTATACCTAGTAATGGTTTTCCAACAGAAGAGTATTTCGTCCTGCGTAAAGAGACACTGAACCTACTCGATCACGGAGTGTTGTTGTCGCCCTCACACAACTCGTGTGCTAGCAGGCTAGACTTGCTTGTGTTGGTGCTCTCTGTCGTTGGAAGCAGGGACAAAAGACGAAGCATTCGCGACACATGGGGCCGGGTTAACCAACCATGGCCTTTACTCAATTCCCGACCTACTATGAAGGTTGTATTTCTTTTCGGGGTTGCTCCGACACCCGAGTACAACCTGGAGCTAAAATCCGAGTCTAGACTACACAACGACATCCTGCAGATAAATGCAACTGAATCTTATTTTGTACCAACGCTGAAGATCCTAATGGCTTTCAAATGGATGAAAGAAGGCTGTTCAAGTGTGAAGTATGTACTGAAGACGGATGACGATGTGTTTGTGAATTTGCCGTTGATGATGGAGCGAGTTAACAGCATGAAAGGACGTTTTATTCTCGGAGACAAGCTTTCACATGCATTGTCGCAACGATCTGGAAAACACACCGTGTCACCCAAAGAGTACCCGTTTCATTTCTATCCGCCATATTTGATTGGATATGCTTACATCATGACAGGTGAAGTGGCGTTGTCGATGCTGAACGCCTTCTACCACATGCCTTTCTTAAAAATCGAGGATGTGTACATTGGGGGTATATTACCCAGAGCGACTAGAACTTCAGTGATGCAAATCCACCCTTCTTGGATTGACAATGGTCAAAAGGTAGACATTTGTGATTTTGTACAGAGGAAATTGATAGCTGGTGCTAATATTGATAATGATGTTATTCATAAAATTTGGCAAACTTTTAGAGAACCATGGCGTTGTAGAAAATGATTTATGTTTTCACCCCGTGTGTCTGGTCATTGTCTTCAACCATCCACTCGTTACACCGGCGGCCTGGATACACTTCCGATGAACAAATAAACAAGGCAAAATTATACAGTATGTTGTTTAACCGCATGACAACACCATATACAAGGCAGTACCAGTGTTACTTGGATGGAATTTGATTGCCTTGAGTATTCTAACGCTAAAATTAGAAAACGATTCAATATAATATACGCTCATTGTGTAAGGGGAATCGATTTTCACTACGACTAGTAAACGTCATTATGCTTGCCATCACATAGTGTTGAAAACTGCCGCCATAGTCTCGGTCCGTATTCTGTATGTACGGTTAACGAAATATTTTGAATAAACATTTGTTGCATTTATTTTCTAGAATTCCAAGTCGTGTATACGTTTACCGAGTCACGTCAATTGAATATATCTCATTAACTGATGAACTAATGAAATGAAATGGTTGCCCATTATTAGCATGGCCATCAACACAGGGTCATTTGCAGGTCAGCTGTTTGTAATCAAAGTCAAACAATGGCCGGTTGGCCACTGAAGCATGACATAGTGGATGAGGTGCGGGATACTGCAGGCTGACTGACCAAACATTTGTATCAAATGCGACACGTGGCAGCCGGTTCAGGATTCGACCCCCTGGGACAAATAGAGAATGCTTTAGGTCAGTCGGGATTTGACCCTCGGACAATGCCAAGGAAGGCTGGCTGGCGATAGCCACCAGAGTGGCGCCTAGCCATTGCTATGATACCATGTAGTCATCCATATCAAATCACGAATAAATTGATGTGGATCAGTGTGCGAAATAGCCACTGGCCCGCTAGCCTGTGGCTAGTATAAATCCAGTCGTACCAGCAAATCTCCACAGTCACTGGCCCGACTGGCTAGTGAATTTCTATGGGGTCATTTTGTAAAGATATCACTCTCTCCGACTTGTTTAGTTATAATATACTCTCCAAAAAAAAGAAACGCATAATGAAAATAGCAATTTCATGTAGCAATGAATTAAAACGTGATTCATTTTACAAAGGTTTTGCTCTGTTTATGAGTCCTATGGTGTTCATGTTTTGAAACATCACAACAAAACGCACCATCCGTAAATTACCCGTATTTAACAGCATGATTTTCAATTTCGGCGTGTAGTGTCACAGAATACACAATTCACATGCAATGCACGTAAAAGTTGGGGATCAGATAGTCTCAATAATTGGTATAAAAGGTTGATCGCTGTCTGTCGATTATTCACTGTATTTGGAATATTGTTGACGAACGCAAAATGCCACGTCTAAGTGAAGCCAACCGTCATATCGTCATTGGTTTGCTTGAAGCTGGCCAGTCTCTACGTGCAGTTGCCCGACGCATGGATGTTCACCAAAGCACCATTTCACGGCTCTGTGAGAGATATCGCCGGCAGAATGCGGTAGCAGATGCACCTCGTAGTGGGCGACCTCGAACGACCACTGCGGCGCAGGATCGCTACATCCGGGTACATCACCTGCGTCATCGAACAGCTACGGCGACCAGTACCGCCCGACAAATACTCGGATTGAGGAGGCTTTCTGCACAGACCGTCAGGAACAGGTTGAGTTCAGGCCTGGAACCTACCGAATTGGCGTAGAATCTGGTTCAGTGATGAATCACGATTTCTATTGGAACGACGCTATGGAAGAATGTGGGTGTACAGACGTCGACGTGAACGTTTCGCCGACGCTTGCGTTCCCCAGGTGGACAGATTCGGCCGGGACAGTGTTATGATGTGGGGAGCGATCACCTGCCGTAGGAGAAGTGATTTGGTGATGATCCAGGGCAACCTGACGAAATCCTACGCCCACACCTCATTCCAATCATTGATCGCCAGAGGGAGTTGTTTCAACAGGACAATGCCAGGCCCCACACAGCACGTCCCACTAGAGACTTCCTCCAGAACCACAACATCAATGTGCTCCCCCGGCCCTCAAAATCACCGGACTTATACCCGATCGAACATCTGTGGGATGCCCTGGACAGACGGGTGCCACGCCGTAACCCTCAGCCCCAGACACTTCAGCAACTCGCACATGCACTACAGGCAGAGTGGGCTGCGATTGGGCAACACGAGTTTCTGAGACTTATTCGTTCGATGCCGAGGCGATGCCGTGCAGTTCTGGATGCCCACGGTGGTCACACGAGGTATTGACTTCAGCACCACCACACGTCTCCATGTGACACTCAAACTGACTTTCCTCGAGTTGGTGCCAAAGACGGATAAGTTTGCATTCCCAGTGTGCAATTTCGCTATATTTCATTGACTCATAAAGCCTACAAGATGTTTCAAAATAAACATAAAAATACTGTTTAAATTCCTATATGCGTTTCTTTTTTTGAGAGTATATATACCACCCGTCAAAAGTTAAGACTCACTTAAAACACTCACTATGTTATGTACATATACATTGTATATGGTTTCATCGAAGATGAATTTCTCCACCAGCTTGCATTGGGGAAACCAACTGCAAACCTTATGCGGATGAATTGCACGAAGATTATGGATCAGATTGCTGAAAAGCACTGAGTTTCATCATTTATTGAATTCATGACAATACACTTTTCAACGTTACGAATTTGTATAACAATCCATCAGTTCATGTGTAGCCAAACTCTAGTTTAGAACAGTTGCCTGAAGTGAGTGGCTACATTTACACTAGATAGTCTAAACTTTCAATGGGTAGTATATATACACAAATAACGTAATTAAGCACCCCCTGTATTTTTGTAATGATAGGTTTTCATCGCTTACATATAACTTCTCATGGTGACCACGATGGAAAAACATGGGTTTTTCTGACCCGTATAATCCTTTGACTCATAAATAACGACAAAATGATTGGAATCCATGTTGATCTTATTATGATAATTGCTCAAACACTGATCTTCATACAAAACCATGTCTGTACAAGTATGGCCCTGGAATGTTTAATGTTGAATTTATTGGTAAATGTGAAGATTCAAAATGTAATTTTGCGTGTCTTACACGATTCAGTGTCAGTACTGAGTGCAACCTCCATGTGATTGTATGACAGCCAGCACACTCCTCCTCATACCCCCTGTCTGTCTCCTGATCCTCTGAAGGGGCAGTCTTCGCCATTCCTCGTGTAAAGCAGCTTCCAGTTGGGCCAGATTCTGTACAGGAGGATCTCTTTGTTGCACACGACGACCAGTCATGTCCCAGATTTGCTCCAAAGGGTTAAGATCGGCTCATTCAATCGTGAGATATGTCAGGGGGTGCTTTACTAAGTTCTTTGTGTAAATATAGTATACATACTACATATACAGAACAGCATAGTGTTAATCAGTATTGCAATGAACTATCCTGAACAGTAGTACAGAATATTTGATAAATACATGATGACACAGTCCACATAAACCTTAAAGTAGTGCCAAAGGTCGTTACATATAGTTAAGGTACGATACTATTAGATTTAACTTAAGACATAATAGCATAACGATTTTATTGAAGGAGAACAAATCAAAGTTTCTTACCTGAGTGAATAAACGTGTGTTTACTAGACAACCACAGAATGATTTGTGACTGTCGTCCCTATCATTAACCTATTCCGGCTATCGCATATAATCGCATTTACTGATTACACTTGCGATAATGTCGTTATTGTGAACTTGAGATTATATCATTTAGTTTCACCGAAACATCGAGGATAAATTTGGACAATGGATGTTCAGTTGCGAGTATGCCACGAAGGTTTATATGGCAGGCGGGTTATTTGACCAACGTTGAATATAAACAGCCGTAAGGGCAGATAAATGCATTGCACCTTGGCTCTGTTAGCTAAAGAGATACTGGTCCCGCATTATGTCCGATGCTCTTTATCAGCGTGACTCTTGGCAGGTTTACGATAGTGTAACGTGGTCAGTTAAAACTTTGTCGGTTTCCTCAATGTTAATATAATGACAGGGGCATCTTGGGGTAAACGCACAACTCACAAGCGCATGGTTTTTAAAAGAGTAAAACTTGAAGTTTATTACTGCTGTTGTCTCGTTCGATGGTTATAATGAGCAGTGAACAAGGCATCCTATTGGCCATTGTCCGTACATACACATGCAGTCACTCGTATCGTCAAATACTCACTGGATACCATGCATGGTTTCATGACGGGGCACCGCTGAAGGTCCGGGTTAGAATGAACCTTCAGCAACCCATGCGACTAATAGGCGACTAACGGAATCGGGTGGTAAAGCTCGCTGACTTGGTTGACACATGACATCGTATCCCAGTTGCGCAGATCGATGCTCATGCTGTTGACCATTGGATTGGATTGTCCAGACTCGATTATTTAATCCTAATTGTCAGTATCCTAAGAAAGCTCCAACACCGATTCCGCCCGGAATCTTAATTGTCAGTATCCTGAGAAAGTCCCTACCCCGCTTCTTACAGGTATCCTAATTGTCAGTATCCTGAGATAGCCCCAACACCACTTCCTCCCGGTATCCTAATTGTCAGTATCCTGAGAAAGCTCCAACACCACTTCCGCCGGGTATCTTAATTGTCAGTATCCTGAGAAAGTCCCTACCCCGCTTCCGCCCGGTATCCTAATTGTCAGTATCCTGAGAAAGCCCCAAACACTACTTCCGCCCGGTATCCTAATTGTCAGTATCCTGAGAAAGCCCCTACCCCGCTTCCTACCGGTATCCTAATTGTCAGTATCCTGAGAAAGCCCCAACACTACTTCCGCCCGGTATCCTAATTGTCAGTATCCTGAGAAAGCCCCTACCCCGCTTCCTACCGGTATCCTAATTGTCAGTATCCTGAGAAAGTCCCAACACTACTTCCGCCGGGTATCCTAATTGTCAGTATCCTGAGAAAGCCCCAACACTACTTCCGCCCGGTATCCAAATTGTCAGTATCCTGAGATAGCCCCAACACCACTTCCGCCCGGTATCCTAATTGTCAGTATCCTGAGAAAGCCCCAACACCACTTCCGCCCGGTATCTTAATTGTCAGTATCCTGAGTAAGTCCCAACACCACTTCTGCCCGGTATTCTATCATGCACTCCATGTGTCCCTTTGGATGACACAGACAACACCATCTACTCTTCTCTGGTCGTTCAAGGTGAGGTGAGGTGAAATAGGCTTTAATTAACGTCGTACTTGAAAATATTTCGCTCATATGACGGCGTGCATGCGTGTGTATGTATGGCTGCTTGGACTAGCCCAGACTTAAGCTGGTTTTATAGTGCTTGCTCACTGAGATACCATGCCGCAGTGAAGCATGAATACCCCACTATTGACTCCGAGCCGACCAGTCCTTGTTGTTGTCGTACATACACATGCAGTCACTCGTATCGTCAAATACTCACTGGATACCAT